ATTTTTATGGGTTAGATTTTATTTATATTGTTATTTTTATTTAAACCAGAAAATAATTATCAACTTATATTTTCTATTAATATAATTAGATATGACAAAACTAAAGAAACAGAAATTTGTTTTTTTTTTTTTTTTTTGTAAAAATGGTTTAAAAAATGAAATGAAATAAAAAAAACATAATTTAAATAAAATTACATATTTAGTCATCCAACTAAATTGTATCTAATAAATTAGCTTCTAATTTTATTTAAATTTTAAAAAATGTTAATTAAAAGCTGGAAACTTCAGGGGTAAAATGGTAATTCAACATAAAGAAAATAAAAGAATAATAATAATAATAACCGCCATGGCTGACCGGGGCAGGATTTCCCGCGTTGATGAATGGATATTTAACTGATGCCTTCCTCTTCCCCAACTCCACTAGCTTCCATATTCCTTTCTTGCATCTTGAACAGAAGACTCATTCCTCTTCGAAATTCTTCAATCAAGTTCTCTCTCAACTCTCCCATGGCGGGTCTTTCTTCCGCCATGGCCCTTTTCGTCTTCCTTCTCCTGTGCTTTTCCTTCTTTTCACTGTCTCATTCCCTCAGAGGTACGCCATTTCCGCTTCTCTTTACTCTCTCTCTCTTCTTTTCTTTATTCTTACTTTCCTCCTCTCTTTTCAGGCTTTTTCATCGATTGCGGCTCCTCTGCTCCGACCACTCACGGTGGCCGCACCTGGCAATCCGATGACGGCTTCGTCTTCAGTGGAATCAACAAGAACGTCACCGGTCCCGTTCTTGACCCTACGCTTTCCACTGTGCGCTCCTTTCCTAGGGTTCTTAATCGTAAATTCTGCTATGTTGTTGGACCGGTTTTTCGTACCCGGAGGTATATGGTTAGAACGACTTACTACTATGGCGGAGTCAACGGCCTTGATTCGCCGCCGGTTTTCGATCAGATTGTTGATGGGACTGTTTGGAGCATGGTGAATACTACCGAGGATTATGCTCTGGGATTGACGTCCTATTACGAGGGGATTTTTGAGGCGAAGGCGAGGTCGATAACTGTGTGCATTGGTTCCAATATGTATACGGATTCGGACCCTTTTCTTTCTGCCTTGGAGGTTGTGACCTTGGAGAATTCTCTTTACAATACGACGGATTTCAACAACTACGGCTTGCGCTTGGTTGCTAGGCATAGTTTTGGGTACAACGGATCCAACTTACGGTATGTTTTAGAAAAGGGGAAATTTTTGAATGCTTCTTTTGACTTTCCATGTTCTAATCTTTTGGCAACTAGGGAATTTGATAGTTTTTGCTGACATGAATTTGATCTAATGAGCTAATAAATATCATTCTTGGTGTTCTTGACGTTTTCTTTGTATTTCGTTTTTTTAACTATCATTCTTGGTGTTCTTCCCTTTTTGGGAATCAATAGGCATCCAGACGATCAATTTGATCGATTTTGGCAACCATTTGGGAATAGCAGTGGGAACGTAACCAGTAGAACTGTATCTGCCTCTGGTATATGGAATCTCCCTCCATCAAAGATATTTGAAACAGAGCTGAAGACTGATAAACTGGAACCATTGGAGCTGAACTGGCCTCCTATTTCTCTTCCAGGACCAGAAAGCAATTTCACTTATTACATTGCGCTGTACTTTGCTAATGATCATGCTTCATCATCCGATAATTTGAGAGTGTTTAACATAAGTGTGAATGGCATAAAATATTACGGCGATCTAAATGCATCTTCAGCCGGTCATGTCGTTTTTGCTAGTCAGTGGCCTCTTCATGGTCTAACAAATATTACGTTGACTCCCTCTCCTTTGTCAAAACTTGGTCCATTGATCAACGGTGGGGAACTTTTTCACCTTGTGTCTCTTGGAGAAAGAACTCATGCAAAAGATGGTATGTAACATTTTTCTTTTTCATTTTTTTTTTTTTATGTATGTTATTTGCCAACCATCTTTTATGGAGGCATATGGGTAGCTATCTAATTGCATTTCATAGGTTCTTTATCCGCATATGGATATATATATATGTAGAACTTTTTTTCTTTTTATTTTTATGTGTGTGTGTGTGTGTGATATGAGCTAACCATCTTGTATGGAAACATATGGGTTTATATCTAATTGCAGTTCATAGCTTTTTCTTGATGTTAAAGGGGAGATCAATTTGAACTTGATCATATATCCTGTTTCTCGTCATTTTAGATGCCTTGTGAGTTCTCATGCAGTTCTAAATGTTTTTAGCAATATGCCTGATTGTATTTCAATTGCTATTTAGTATGTTGTAAATCATTTCCCATTCTTCTGATGTTTTTTTTTGGTTAGTTGTAACCATCATAACATTCGCTAGTTTCTGATCATAGTTGTCAATCTGGAGAGAGTAAAAGAAAGTCTGAAAAATCCACCACCTGATTGGAATGGCGATCCATGCTTCCCCCATGAATATCGCTGGACAGGAATTACATGTTCTGGTGGCTCTCGAAATCGTGTGGTTACCTTGTGAGTTTGTGCTCTTTGTGGCTTTTAAATTTTATATTTCATATTCACTTCATGTTAACAAACTGCTTCTGTTTTCTTTATGTCAGAAACCTTACAAATATGGACCTTTCAGGATCCTTATCATCAAGCATTGCCAATCTTACTGCGTTGTCGGGAATGTTAGTTTTATGATAGACCTTTTGAGTTAATGGAATTAAACAATGAAGTTTTCTAATTTCCAGTTCTGTCTTTTGCAGCTGGCTTGGAAACAACAGTTTGTCTGGAACGATTCCTGATCTCAGTCCTCTGAAGTTGTTGGAAATAGTGTATGTTCTGGACTTCTCCTTTTTATTCCATTTATTACTGGGCACCTGAAAGCGATTGAATTGTTGCATATGAAAATATATCATGGCGGTCTCATTGAAGTGTTGTCATGGTTTCACAAGGTGGCTATAATATTCGGTTTTATCACTTAGCTGTTCTTAGTATACTGTGTTCATTACCTGCCCTGAATATCTCAACAGAGTTGGCTCCCTGAATATAGTGTTTTACCTTTATCAATTTTGTTTGTGGATTCATCTTGTTGACCTTCTTATAACTTTTTCTGTTCAACTTATATCACAATTATTGATATTGTGTCTTTTCCTGTGAAGGCATTTGCAAGAGAATAATTTCAGTGGAGAGATTCCATTGTCACTTGGAAACATACCACGCTTGCGGGAATTGTAAGTTTAATTGCACTATTTCATTGCTTAAAGATTCAGTGTCATTCCTTGGTTTGGGAAAATCTATTATAGAAGTTGGATGCATTTTACAAATTGTTTATCCTAAAAATTAATCATTGCTGAGGGAGTATGCTGCTCTGCTACAGACTTCTTGATGTACAATTCTCATGCTTCTGACTGCATTGCCTTTACATAGTAGTTTGAAATGAAGAAATTTTTTAGCCCAATGCTCATTGTTTTATTCATAAGTTAGGTTATATAATGACTTGAGTATTAGCCACCTTCTTTGGGGTTGATTGGAAATATGTATCCGTAGAGTGGGGATATTTTTCTCCCATGTGTTTCAAATTATTTGGAGCATAATTGCTGTGCCATGTTTGGTTACCACGTGTTTCAACTTCTTAGATGCTAAGTTGAGTTTGAGAGGCAAAAGATAGGGTGGTGCTGAAGTAACTAATTCTTCATTTATCATTTTTGTTCTTTCTGGTGTAATTGTTGTCCTCGCCTTATCCGAATCCTAGAAATATATCATACAACTTGATCAACTCTCGCATCTCTATAAGTTTGGTCCGATTTTCACCTTTTTCTGTTCTGTTTCATCTTTTGTGAACATTTCTTAAATTTTTTATTGAATGGTAAATTTAACAGCAATTAATTGATTTGTTGTTCATTTGGCTCGTTTTGCTCTTATCCTAGGTTCTTATACAACAATAATTTGACCGGTGAAGTTCCTCAAAGTCTTCTTAATAAACAACTGAATCTAAGGTACTTGCTAACTGCCCATAAACTTCTGCATCAAATTTTCCCAGGTGCCCATTTTTTTCTAACTTTGTAATTTGGTTTATCAGGATTTTTCCGGGGAACCATCTGTTGGCGCCACCACCTCCTGCTTAGCAATTTGTTTTTTGTATTTTTTTTTTTTTATCCTAAAGGGTAAATGTAAAGCTTATTGTTTACTCGTGTATAGTACTGTTCGGGTAAACATTTTGGCCTGTAAGTTCTTCAAGGAAATTGTGACATACCATTTTGTGCCATATCCTTCTTTATTGTAAACTGTATAAGCTAACATGCCTGGATGGTCCAAGCGACTTTATTCTTTGATTTATTGTCCATGTATTGAAGGACCAAGATTACTATTCTCCCATATGTAATTGTTCTTGTTAATAATCGTTTTGGGTTTGATAAAGAATTCTCAGCTTTGTAGTGTTACATATTTAATTTAGTGGGTGTAGTAGCTGATCCACTCTGTTTGTCGTGGCAGTCAACCGAGCTTAGCTGTATCAGTATGCTTCCTCTTCATTTGTCGCTTTCACTTGTTTCTTCTGTATTCATCTTTATTGAATCATTTGTCCTGCTCTTCTGACTGTCTCGTCTGTTAGATTACTCTGGCCACATCTCCTCTACCCGAAATTAATTCAGTTTCAAAACATGCATGCCCTTTTCAATTAATGTCAGATGTGCAGATACAGCTTCTGCACCACTGCTTCGGAATTCATACATGGTGGGGGTACCATTGAGCGATGAAAGTTATGCAGTCTCCCAAATAATTTCTTGCAAAAAGCAATTCAGGTTCGACTCGGATCTGTATGCTTATATTTATCTATTTATTTGTGTCATTTTAACGTTTAATATGAAAATCTGATGCCTTTGAAGATAATTTTGGACCCAGGTTCGATTCTGGAAACTGCTATTGTATTGGACCCACTGATCCGAGGCTGCTGCATCCAGCATGTGACATCAAACTGTTCACTGTCAAATTTTGCTATTCAAGAGGACAAAAGATGAAGTGTAACACTAAAAAGGTATGTGGAAGCAAAAATGCATTATGTGATTAATCAAGGAATAGCAACAAACAAAAACTAGAGGTCAGCATTTACAATCGTAGATTATTAGATCCACCGCCATAATCAACCTTAATCCATACACCCAAAATGAAAGATGAAATTTTGTCAAGAAATGATAGAGACAGAGAGAAGGGGAGGGAGAGAGGGAGATTAACATGTTGGAGTAGACTTGATGAGATCTTGAGCTGCTGACTTTTAGCTAATTTCATCTTCTTTCTCATCTATCAAATCTTCCTTTCTTAAGTGGGAACAAGGGTGGCAAAACACTGCTCTTCACCTGTGTGCAGATTGGCACATTAATCATAGGCCTTATTCTTATACTTGCTGATCTTGTCCTTTCCAAACCCTTCTTTATCCTCTTTATGTTCTTCTCTTTGTTTCCTGTTGTCCCTTCCTCAGATGTGGCTGCATCCGCCATGGACCTGGAAGAAGACGACGACGAGGACGAAGAAGAAGACGGCGACAGTGCAGATGAAGTGCGTTGCTTCTTCAACCTCAACAATTCTTTCCACAGAACAGTGCATTTTGGGGGCCTCGGAGATGGGTCGTCGTCAAGGAACCAATTCACCTTGTTCTCCGCCTCCTTGTTTACCTCTATCTCCACCAAGTCTTCTTCATCTACATCTTTTGGAGATTTGAGGCTGATCTTGTTGAGCCTCTCTGCTTGCTGCATTTGCCAAAAGGGAAGAAGCTTCCCTTCAAAGAAAAGCTCGTCTGCCGTAAGCATGGAGTGGCTGCTTACTTGATTAGAAAGAAACTCAAAATCAGCACTCCTTGCCAGCCTCTCTGATCTCTCCTTCTTCTGCCTCTCGCAAATTTCTTGATCTCTCTCTATCTGGGAATGAGGGGTTATGGAAATGAAGTTGCTTTCATCAAGAAACTCAGAAGAGAAGGATATCCGAGGACTGGAATTTGGTTCTATGGATGAAGAAGGTGGCGATGTTTGAACACTGTCTATTGAAACCATTTTTGTGTGTAGGGGTGTGGGTGTTTGGATTCCGGGAAATGGGGAAGGAAAATGATTGTGTCAGAGGTGGGAAAGTTGGGTAAATGAGGAGAGTTTGGAAATGGAGGAGATTTATAGATTAGAAGGAAGGAAAAGTAAGATGTTTAAAAAGGGGTAAGTGGTCTGGTGAAGCCGAAACAAGCAAGGTGTAGGTTGAAGAAGGTGGAGATTATGATATGAAAGCAAGCAGCACATGGACACCTAGGGCTCTAGGGAAGAAGCTACCTGACAAAAAGGCCCTCTTTAGCAATATATAATTACTATTCTTTTGCATGGCTAACTCTTCTTCTATGAACTACTCCCTCTTATCTTCCACTTGATTCCTCATTTATTAGAATATACCTCCAAATAATCCAATCCCACGTTCTTACATTATTACATATTATCCTTGTCCCTCCCTTGGCCTATTAGTGTGCTTCTTCAAGTAAAGGGATCTAAATCTTTAGCTTTTAAGATATGGGTCGGGTTGAGTTGAGTTTGTTTATTTACAGGTTTCCTCACCTTTTAGCTACGTAGTGATTAAGGAAGGTAACTATGTTGTACTAGTTCGAGTTTCTTTCAGTATATCATTGTCTTTCAAATGGTTTTGTTTAGATTAGCAAGTGATATTTTGAATTTAACAACTTGGTTGATAACGTATATCTTAACTAAATGAAGTATACTAGAGTTGACAGGAAGTTATTGAAGATGATGAAGTATACTCGTAATCCATATTGGAGTTGTTTTTTAGTACTATCAGATTTCAACCTCTAATTTCAAGGGGTTTTGTCTACTCTTTTTTAACATGGTTTGAGGAAAAAGAACAAACTTTTCATTGCTGCAACGCTCCCCCCGAAGCTTTATATAGATAATATATATTGGTAAAAGCTATAAAACATGGAGGAAAAAGAGGAAGAAAAAGGTCGAAGTATGATTGATTGAAACCCCAACACTAAAATAAAAATATAAAAAGGGTTTTTGCTTGGTTTGACTCAAAGCTTCAACGTGTAAATGGAAGGATTCTGAAGCATCCATGTGGTCTTCACATGATAGTAATTTTAATTTTCATCAACCCATGTGATTACGAGTTACCGATACTGCCCTTCCAATCACCCTCTCTTCTCATGCAATTCAAGGGCTTTCTTGTCATTTCACATCAAATTGGTTGAATTAATATTAAAAGCTTTGGTTAAGATTTGGAGGCTTTGATTAATATCCAGACAGCTAATAAATATAGGGCTTAATTTTGGGTTATTCTATTATTAAAGTAATATTAAAAATATAAAAATAGTTTTTGTTTTTGTTTTGATTATCTCTATGCGCATAGCACAATGTTCCAAGCTCTCTTTTATGTGCCCCTCTTCTTCTTTTGCTCCATTATTGAGAGGAGACACTAATATTACAGCTTTTCTTTGTCAGAATTAATTAATTAATTAGTTCATTAATTAAAACGCCCATAATTGCATTGGATTAAAGTGAAATCATCATTATAATGCCCACACAGGTGAGAGATTTAAAATAATTAAATAAATTCGATGATTAATACGATACATTTTTTACTGCTCCTATATATACACGTAATTTTAATATTTTTATCGAATTTAATCCATAAAATATAATGCAAATAAGCTTTATATATAATTATTAGTTTGACCTTTGAGAGTGAAATTGGGTTTTCTCCAAAATATATATATAAATATATTAATAAAAGGTTTAATCTTAATAAAAGAAATAGAAAATAATTTAAAATTGAATAAATAAAAGTGAGAAAGTTTTAAAAAAATGACATACGATAGAGACAAAATTATATAAGTTTGTATGATTAATGAGCATGTGGCAAATGAACTGACCAGATATTTCTTCTCTCAAATTTAGTTGTCGGTTTCAATTATTTAAATCATTTATTCCATAATTAAGGACTTGTTTATTTTAATAACCATTTAGTATTTAACTTTTCATTTTTTAAAATTAAATCATTTATTACTTCTGTCAGTAAATTTATTTATTTTATTGTCTACTTTTTAGATATATTTTCAAAAAATTAGAAAATAATGATTTTTGTTTTTCAAGTAATTAATTATAATAAGTTGGAACGGTGGCAGCTGCTGTGCCGCCATTAAAGTCAACTCTCTCAGGGTAATTCCAAATATCTACAAAATAAAATTTTGATTTTGTGGGCCTTACTGGACTTTGATGGTCCTTTAGTGGGCCATCTCAAATGGCCCAAAACAAAATAAAAACAAATGGCGTCGCCCGGGTTCGAACCGGAGACCTTCAGTGTGTTAGACTGACGTGATAACCAACTACACCACGACACCAGATGTTATATTTGAATTTAATTATTTTTATTATTCTAACATAAAAAATAATGAAATATTAAATTTATGTTTATTTAAATATATATATATGTAATTATTCAAATACCTAACCTCTTAGTCGAGAATATATATGTTTTATGTAATTGAGCTATACTCAAGCTGAGACAAGGTGGAGCTCGTAATGTCTTCAAGAACACCTCTTGACACTCGATCTTTAAATTTTAAAATGTTTCTAACAAATATCTAGACTTTCACGATGATATATATATATATATAGTTGATGAACTTTATAAAATGTTTGAATTTCATATTTGATAGGTCACTAATCTTAATGAGATTTAGACGTTTAGTAGCATTAAACGGGAATGACATAGTTGTTGTCCAATCTATCGATGACCATAAAATGATACATTCGTGCTTCAATATTTAGGTTTGAGTGATAGTGGGTTGTTATGACGTTTGTGGACGAGCAGACAAATTACTTTAACGAGTCAAAGCAGACAATATCTGCTAGTAACAAGCTTTCACTGTTACACATATTCAGTCTCTTCCTCTTTAAGATGATGCTTCTTTTTAAGCTTCGTGTTAGTTGATTAAAAACTATAAAATTTAGACGTACAAAATCTCATAATGAAAAATATAAATATATATATATATATATATATATATATAAAAAGATTTAGACGTTTAATCTAAATCTATTAAAAAAACACACAATACTAATAAATAAATAAATAAATAAATATATATATATATATATATATATTTGAATTTGAATATATTTATAAGAAAAGGAGTGGAAATATTAAAAAAAACACACATAATTTAAAAAAAAAAATTGAAATTAAAATATTGCTTTAATTTAAAAATGGTGTAAAATATAAAATATAAAATAAATAGAATTTAGATATAAATGAATAAATGAATAGAATTTCAACCTCCCCTCAATTATCGTTAGTCTTTTATTAATAGTCACTTATTACAAAAGGCAATAATTCGTTAAGTCTTTTAATTCGATAATTAAAAGAATTAAATGATAAATATAAATCGCAACAACTTCACACAATACCAATAAATAAATGAGATTCCAAGTCGAAATCAAATCTTATAAACTCATTAATTATTGGATTTCTAATTGAGAGAATGAAATTATAGTAAGAGTCGGCCAAATTAATTGAGGATAACGACAAAATACTAATTAAAAATGCCTATCATACAAATTTCATTAAAATTATATGTTCTTTTTTATTTAAAAAACATTAATTTATCAATTTATCAAAGAAATTTCATTAAAATTTTGATAATAATTTGAATAATAAGTTTTTTTTTTTTTTTTTTTTTTTTTATAA